CAGATTAGAGTAAAAATAGATTTTATAATTGAAGCACAATACTACAAATCGATAGATTCAAAAACTCGATAATCGAGCACTACGTGTAGAGCTGTTTGACCCATACACAGTCACGGGTCAATTAAATACCACCGAGAGATGGGCATCATCATGCACCTTATCACTGCATGGTGCTTTTTTCATAATAACAATTAAGCACCATGCAGCATGATGCCCATCTCTACCACCGATACTCAAAAGGCAAAGATACTGTATTAGGTTTGTAAATGTCTAACCAAACAAATCAGAAAGCATAATGCAGTATCATATGTTCATAGTCGGATTTATCTTAACATCTGCTTTTTTTTTTTAGGTAAACTTTATTTTCATTTCTAAGATTTTTTCTAATTTAATTTTATATATTAATTTAAACTTTTTTTTTAAATTAAATATATATATATATATATATTTATTTATTTATTTATTATATAAATTAAAATTTTTTTTAGAAAATATGTATAGATATATAGCATCAATTAGTCCGTAAATTATTTTTTAAGACAAATTAGATTTTTTTAATTTTGATAATAGCTATACGTAAAATTTTAAGGTATTCGCAACTTTTTATTTTTTCTTTTGATTTTTTGATGATATAACTTTACTAAGACCACTAATTTTAACTCTTAAGCAAAAATATTCATAAATTTTACATACATTCGTAGATACACAAATTTGATGATCTTGTTGGTAATGCAAAAACATAATATTATCCTACGAGATTTAGATTATCTTAAATTTTTGATTTTTTTAGAAATTTATTAATTTACACGTAGTGTTTATACACGGGTATAATTTATTGAATTACAAATTTCGTGTAACATGTCAATCAAAACAACTTTAATAAACGAAAAATTAAACCCTTGCTTATGGAAGTACTTTTAATTAGTATAATTATTTAAAGGTTAGAAAACAATTATACTATTCTTATTATCTTAATATAATTAAATTTGATTGCAATAATAAAAATAAGTTATTCAGGTTTAAATATCAACTCTTCCCGGTAAGGGTGGGTTTGGGATTGGAGCGAGGGTTAGTTTATACCAAAATTTTCCAAGGAATTTTTTTTGCTAAAGGCCAAAAGGTGGTTTGATAATCAAAATTTTGAGATATTTTATACGGCTAATTACGGTAATTAAAGTGATTAGATAGGTATTATGACAAATTATGATAATATCTCACACTCTGGAGATAAGAGTCACTGTCATTTTTTATCTGTCTTATTGAGACGAATCGAATATTTCTCAAAGACCACACTCGTCATAATACCTATCTATGCCATATATTCCGAATTTTGTATAAAATTTACACTTTGCCTGACCAAACATTTTGGTTAAAAAATACAGTATATGACACGAGAGAATAAATTACAGAATTAACGCACTTATTAATCAAACCCTTATCAATATGATTTTCGCCGATAGATAGTACCTGAATGTGGAGACAAGAATAATAGAGTATTTTATTATTGCTTGTATTAAAAAAAATTATAAAGGATTAAACCAATAGAATTATAAAGAACTAAAACAAAAGCTATTTAGTTTTTCGATAGCATGCTTGTCATGTAAGGAGGTTACATTTTGTCTTGTTTCTAATGGTGGAAATATAATAGGTTGTTTTTTGAGAGGGGATATAAATTTAGAAGGGGAATACAAATAATCACGCGGCATGGCACTGACTTCGATAGATTCGGAAATAGGATAATGTATCATATTAAAACTGGCTGGTTGAAAAATAGAAGACTTAACACAATATTGGCACTTCAAGTTCGTTCCAGCTGATTGGAAGGTAGACAACAAAATTTGATCCTTCTTATATGGCTTGTAACGATAATTTGGCCAAATACAAGAATGAACTTTTTTAGCGATGTCAGCGATCTTAAGATAAATTTCTTTATCATCAAACGTCAGATCTTGCCACAATATACTAGCTAATCTTGAAGTAGATTTGAGTTGAGAAGCCATGTTAAGTCCTCGTTCATATATCATTTTGGCATGAAGATCTCTGCGAAAAATAATAAACCCATTTTGGGAACGAGGTGGAGTTATGTAATGCTTCGGTTTGTTGCTTGGTAGAATAAGGTCGTAAATTGGTAAGAAGATTTTCGATTTGATTTGATAAAGTTCTTCCCTGGTAATTGTATTATTTACGATATCGTCAAGTACATATGAATTGAAAATTTGACTATAAATAGGTGAAGTATATAGGTTGTAAGTGTTGTGAATATGCCCTTGACATGAATATGTGCAAGTTGAGCAAAACATTTCGTTGCATCAGTAAAAAAGAAAAAAAAAACGGTTCGTAAGATAAACTAGAGAAAATTTAAATATTTTATAATAATGGGCAATCTTGGGATTTTAATAAATAAGCAGAAAACAGAAAAAAGATTTCCAATTCTTGTTTAACAAAAATATGATCCAATCAGAAAAAATAATATTTGTTTTTCGCATCGCATTGATATGTAGACTCACAGATTAAAATTATTCTGAAAATCGGGTGACATTTCCAGCTCCAAAAAATGAAATCCTCAATAGTATCAGCAAAAAAACAAACATGCAATTAATGATAAGTGATGTATTTTCCGATTCTTTGGAATAATTTATTATGTTGCACACAAAATGACATATAATAAATGCCAATACGTATATACGGTATACAATATATACGGTGTACACTTTTGCACGTACTACTGTACTAAGTTATTGGTAGGTGACTAGATTCGTATGATATGGGGTGTAAATACCTATTTAAAATCCGTCCCGGTGTTATATACAGTATATTCAAGAATTATACATATATATATAACATTATATGATTTTTAGATTAAGTATTGTACACCCTACCATACTAAACTGCATACACATACACGTACGTACAGTATTTGTAATTTCTTTAAATGTGAGTCCCAAGTACATATGTACATTTATTTTTATCAATCTAAATTTCCAAGAAAATTTTCTTGTGTTACGAAAGAAGGATAAATACACCAATTTGTCTAGTCGACCATATTGTATAGTCCAGAGAGGGGGGTGCATTTAGAGAGATCTCTATGTAGGTAATTATTTTCGAATCAGAGGGTCGAAATTTCATCTTATAACCCTACATTTGAAAATACCAACCGGTTAGCCGATTATTTATGAAAGTAGAATAATACTTAACGAATAAAAACAGTCACTTGCAGATTTGAACAAATTATTGACGTTGGATATTGGACCCATATCTGCAGATAAAACAATTTGATCAAATAATACCTTGCGTTAAGTTATGAAATAATTTATCATGAAACTAAAACTTGTAAATCTATGATTTATACCGGAGGCAATTTGATTATATCCGGATACTATCTACATATCTCGAAAAATAATATCTTTATGTTTTGATAAATATATAATTGGTGTAAAACATTGAAGATTGGCAAAGTTGACAAGAAATGTACACCGAACAGCGTTGTACATTTTGACTGTCCTGAGCTTTTGGCCTTCTCCCGTCCCGGGACATACCATCAATTTCTCAATTTTAATTTGAAAAGCAATAAAACATATGTAAAATTAAATCTTAAACAGGTTTACTTAAGAATTGAAAGAAAGATGTCTTAATAAAATATTGAGTTGTTATTTTTTTAAACTTCAAATTAATTCCAAATCCGTTCTAGTTTTGACTCAACTGTCCCGTGTGCAACACTGACATCTCTATAAATACATTTATAGTAGTTAACCTAACTTTTAAAACTAGACTTATACATTATAAGAGACAATAAAATCGGATTACTATATGTTAATTCTACATATGTTCATTGGTAGCTTATTCTTGTAATTAACTCTAGGGTACATATTGGGTACGTACGATGTGGCCAATATCCGGATCATGGGGATCATGGTCTAATGCATCAACCAGAGTGACCCCAAAGTTCCAGTTACATTATGTTCCACGGCTGCAACATACTCATGCGATAAATTCATAAAAATCGATAAATTCACAGCATAAAAATTGCACTTCGTTAGAATTTATTATATAATTTACTTCATATTTATGTACTGAAATTTCTGAGTCGATAGCAGAGCATAAAATACCTATTTTATTTCCCAGCCATGCATCCCAATTTCCTGAAGTCCACTTTCCCAAAGTATTATTCTCTGCCCCATAATACCGACAACCTTATTTTCTGACAAAACATATTTCTGACAGCACATTTTGCTGATAGAAGTTTTCATCGAATGTTTTTTTTTTTTGATCAAACTAATTTTCCGAAAATTCAATTCTTCGACACGAATTATAATAATATCTATAAAAATATCTCAGATAGTGACTTGTTACAGCAGAGACAGTGCCCGATCCAAAGTGAATCCCTCTCGCCTGTGATCAATCACAAATTAAATTATTTATATTGGATTCAATTGTGATGGATATAATTCCTCACCAGTTTTAATATATGTATAACATTAATGGTCTCGGCTGTAATGATTTGTCTGAAAATTTGTTATCAATTAAAATGACATTTCGGGAAAATAGATATTAAATTATGTCATGTCAACAAAACGGATTATCTGTATTATGGCTTCGATGAAATAGTATTTCAGAAATATAGATTCAGAAAGTTAATCCGTAACCTAATAATTATAATTAATATAATATTTTTGTTTTAATCTAGTGCTAACCTTAATGCAGTTGATCAAAATAGATTATTCACATTCATGTATACAAAACACTAATCGTTGAGTATTTAAATCACAATCGTTTTTAGTACATGCTCGTATATATTAGTAAGTGCTTAAAGTCGTAAACATTTCAAATAGAAATTTTCATTAACGTGAAATTACATAACCCAAGTCGCAAGTATGTAGGGTCACTATCGATTTTAAAATCAAAGTGTCTGTCAATTCAAAGCAATGACATAATCGATTTTCATATGAAGTTTGTTTTTTTTTTGGTTTGGTTTAATATAAATTCTAATTTATGCAAATCCTGCATCAAATTTTAATCAAACTAAATCAAACTTCCCCCTATATTCATATGCATCGTTCATGTCATATGGGCTAATATGTATAATAATGCAAAAGAGAGAACCCCCAAATTTTTGATACACGTAGTGGGACAGGTTATTTGACAATCAATTGTCCGAATGACTGAGTCGGAAGGTTTATTTTGACCATTTACTCATAATAATAACAAAGTCAAACTGCATGACTTAGTAGGCCCAAGCGAATAATTAGACGATAATCTAATGGGTTTTATGCATATTCATTAAATCCTTCTAACAGAATCGTGAAGATAGATCCTCGTTAAATAAAATAATCACCCTAAGAATTCGTCAGACCAATCAAAAAAAAAAAATTTAAACAAGGGGGTTTAAACTAAATTTGGTGACTCTATTCAGGGTCCAATAGTCGTAGCCCATATCATTTACCTTTATAAATTTTCAGGTTGTAAAAAAAAAAACAGTTTTTGATCTAAGTCGAATTAATGTGAGTCGTGATAATTTTTAGAAAAATCCAAACTTTAATTATTCGCGAGAACCAATCAGAAAACATAAATACTTCATTTTTATCCAACACGACCAGGGCAGTCATCGAAATTACGGGTTGCGTGATAAAACGCCACTGCGCAGCTGCATGCATTCGGATCATTCATTTTTGACCAATGAGTGAGCTTGTTCATAAATAAAGTAATATTGTGGTGTAATCATGTGACCCTAATTTCGATGGCCGCCCTGGTCGTATCTTTACTGTCTGGCAATCGCAAGCAAATTGCTTGATGGAATTTGAATGTGTAATCAACGAATTAAACGTATTTTCCAATGCCATATGCTACTGCTTACAGTACCAGGGGTCTTTTTTCAAGAATTTAATTTTAAAATTGAATACAGTCGTCCTCCTCCTCTATAATCACGCTGTTTGTTTTACATAAAAAAGATGAGATTATAAAATTTTAATGGTAATGTGATTATATAGAGTTTTTAATAAACAGATTGCCATTAATTTTTCAAAAATGGTGCTTATAAAGAGGGTGTGATTATATAGGAGGTGACTGTAGAGGAGGACAACTGTAGTATCCATGAGCCTGTGTGAAGAACCCATATTATATCTGGGATATATAATATTAAAAGCAGTAAATAATTATAGTTATAGCCCCGGATATTATTCAAGAAACAGGTTGGTAGTGATGGTGAGTAATACCCGGGTCTTAATCATGGGGTATTATTTTTGGGGTTACTGTAAGCAGTGGCATACGGTATTTTTTATGTACTCTAATATAAAAATGATTTTGTAGCGATAAAATTGTCAATAATAGTTCCTGTAAAAATATTTCAGCGATAGAATCTTCCATTACAGCTTTTAATTGTGTGATCAACGATTTTATAGAAATTCCAAAAAACCTCAATTGGATCATGTTTTATGCATATTAGATAATTCATTATTAATTGCTAATAATAAATTGTTGTAACTTATTAATTAAATTTTAATTTTTTTAATTATTAATTCATGTTTAATTCACATCGCTATCTGCATGCAGATATCCAATTATTTTTAGTTGAAAGTCACGTTTTTATCTCATAGGGCTAGCGCACTTATGTCAATATACGAAAAACCCGACGTATATTAAAGATTATGAATAATAATTTGTTAAGCTCCGATCTTAAATTATGTTGACGTTTGCGCCTTTAACATGTAACTTCTGAAGGACCTGAAAAATAAGTGAATAATTAAAAGGACGAAAAGGTCATATATTGCCAAGTCTGCGAGTGAGTGATACGGTCTGCTTATCATACTAAATTAGTGTCCAACTATGCGATATCAGTGCAAATAAAATTAGGGGGAAAATAAAGGGGATAAATATATTTATATTGATTAAATTTCTATTTAATATAGTCGTATAAAATTGGCGAAAGAAATTACTACGCCATGCCGCAATTGTTAATCAAAAAATTTACATACGTATTATGTGCATTAGTCTTTATTATATCGATATTAATCAATATTGCTATTTGTAC